TCTCACTCTCTCTCTCTCTCTCTCTCTCTCTCTCTCTCTCTCTCTCTGCCCCGTCACTGCGGCTTGGCTGATAATCGCGATCAACGATCGTTCGATTAGCCGCGCGTCGGGGATGGCAGTTTCCGAAATGGGACGTCGGGTTCTTGAACGGCGGGATGGTCGACAGGGGTTGCGTAAGTGCGTGCGGCCAGCCTCCCAAGGCCCTGCGCCGGAGAATCAATTATTGGATCCGTATATCAATCTGATGGCCGAAGCGCGTCCCGCGCTCGTGGCCTCCCGCTGCGCTCACGCATTTTCCTCCCCCCTCGCCGTCGAGCCTCTCTGCCGCCGTATGCATCGTGCTCGCGATCGTGCACACGCAGTTATATCGCAAGGGAGAAAGAGAGAAGGAGAGGGAGCGTGCGCTCCAGAGCACGATGCACCGTAGCCGATGCCATATACAGCGCAGACGAGCGTAGACCGGTTTTCGCCGCGCGAGGCGACCGCGTAACGTAGCGCGTAATGTTGATTTTTCAACGGGCCAAACTGACCCTCGCTTTCTCGCTCGCATCTCACTCTTTCCCTCTTCTTTTCTCCGCAGGGCGCCGACGAGGATGACAGCGCTTCCGTTGCCTCGGTAAGTTCATCACCCACCGCAGATCGCGATTATTGCGCGCGCCAATCCGAGAGCGACGCCATACACGGACACGTAATCCCGCGGACTCTCTGGGACTCGTGTATATCGCCGGCTCTCCTGATAAATGCGCGCGATCGCGGCCGGGGATCTTAATTAAAATTCGTCCGCTCGCTCGATCGAACGGCTCGATCTTCCGCGTGTCGGCCGTTCGATCGACCGATCCCGGCCGATCTCGCGCCATTAATCGCCAATAATCGCCGCGACTTCATGTTTTCCCGAAGCAACTGGACGGAAAATCGCGGGAGTGGCTGGTCAGGGCGGCGCAGGGGGACTACCAGGCCTTGGCGAAGCTCGCGACTGAGGAACCTCGTCTCACCAGGCTGAAGGTAGGACAATGATATCAATCATGATCGCTTTGTTGTGTTGTAACTTGTTGTGTTGTAAAGTAACAAATCATTTCTTATTAGTTGATCACTCCGTAACGGAGTGATCAGCTGTCTCAAGCCATTTATGGCGGACATCGGTATTTTGTTAAATCAGCGAAACTTTTTCTCTCGTTACGTGTAGTCATAGTTTGTTGTTTTAATCGCGCGCGAAGTTCAAGATCGAGCGATAGGACGGCGCATTTCGTGACCGCCTGTGCGGTTTATCGCTGCTCCCTCTCTGTTTCGCGTTTCATGGTCGAAACCTCCATATCCATAGACGAGACTGAAACTGCGACAATCTCGGGACACTATTTATAAGGAATTATAATTCGCGGCACGGCGTTCTCCTCGCGTTGCATGTTGAAATTTCCTAGACTCACGGGGCGCTCGTTTATCGTGGGCCTTTATCGCCCAGGTATATACACACATATACATACATACACGTGCGCGCGCGACCGCGCAATGGATCTCATTGAATTACGGCTACGCCACCTCGGGTGATAATGACAAAGGTAGCGGGCGGGAGGTTCGGAAATATAATTACGGTGTGGCTTACCGTAGGCCTGGGATCAGGCCGTTATTACACGCACGGCAGAACTTAACACCTGCGGCGTTGTAAATTCGCCGTTTTCGCGCGCCGCCATTGACAGGTCAATAAATCTAAGAGCCCCCGTGGCAATCAGGCGGCCGTTGTATACCCGCGCTAGCGATATGTGGAGCGGATCAGGAGTGGCGGATGGTAGTAGCGGGTTAAGGGCTATTCACACCACTTGTACCGATTATAAATCGCCGCCTGTCGAGCGTCCGGTGGAGCCGCGCGGATATACAAGCCGAGGCTGCTCCTTGGACGGAGCAGGAGGCGCCATCGTCCCCGAGATCTCGAGGTCACGCGCGAATCCTATCGCGAATCTGAAGGAATCTCCCGGCGATGTCGTCAGTCAATGGCGCGGTAACGCAAAAGTCGCGGAATAACATTTTCGAGTATTGCCAGTGTATTTTAATTGATTTCGTTGCTTCGCCTTGACTAATTCCGCGTCGAAAAATGTCGCGACGGCTTCTCTCCACCTGGACGGTCTGAAGCAGCCTTAACGTGCGCTCCGCCGTGCGGGGGCACGGAGAAAGAGGAAGGGGGTGGTCGAGAGGGTGAAGTGATCAAAAGGTGGGGACGTAGCACGGTGGTTGGAGATGGTCAGCGAAAGGGGTGGCTCGACCGCACGGGGGCTGCGTGCTGAATTCATTCCGCTGGACAAGGTTGCCCCACACCCAGCACCGGGCTACGTCGGCCTCATCCCTTGGGATAAATTGGCCGAACCCGCGTGTTTGCGGATAACATCGCCGCGATATACGCTCGCCTATGGCCGCCGTACGAACCTAACCGTCCGTCCGTTCTCCCGCTCGTTCGCTCGTCCGTCCGTCCGTCCGTCCGTCCGTCCGCGGTGCCCTTTTTGCGACGTGTCTCGGACTCGCGGAAATTGGCAACGAACTCTGTCGCTGTTTGTTTGGCCGGTTTTTATTTTATTTGTATTTTTATTTTTCACTCGCGCGCGTGCGTGTCCGCGTCCGCGCGGCCTGCGCCATAAACTAAGCGAATGGGCCAATTTACAGTATTCGCCGGGCGAGAAACAAAAAGCGCGACTAACGCGGAGCGCCGGCAATTTTTCCGAGTGCGAGATCTATGGTCCGATTAGCATAGGAGCGAATATTCGCCCGCGCAGAATTGTCGTGTCGGTCGCGTAAATTTTAATCCGCTCTAGATGTATCAGACCGCGTATCGGATATAGTATATCATCGAAGACCGATTGTTCCTGGCCGCGGATCTGCCGACACGTAGATATATAATAATCTATTATCGATGAATATGCAACAGTTTGGGCCGCGGGAGTGTGAGGCGATAGGGTGCGCCGGAGAACGGGCGAAGTAAGCGACAGAGGGGGTGTCGATGTCGAGAGAGGGATAGGGGATCGTCAGTAGGCATGCCAATTACTCTCCCGGTAATTAAATCAACACCGGAGCTAATCAACGTTACCCCCGGCGCGTATCTCCATCCCCCGGCGAACGGAGGAGCCTTTGTTGGAATAAATAAATCGGACGATCCGATATATATTTGGCTAACGATGCGTGTTGCCTCGCGAGGATCTTGTCGAATTCACCGGACAATTAATAACAGTCGAGTAATTCGTGGGGAAAAATTCCACTCGGAAACTCGGCTCGTAAACTCGCTTTGTAAACTCGAAAAACGGGTGAATGGAAACGCGCAAGTACTCTGTCTCTCTCTCTCTCTCTCTCTCTGGAACTTTTGTGGAATTTTTTTGCATGAGATTGAATCGAAATGGAGCGGACGAATATATTTCCGACGAGTTACTCGATATTCCCACATTATCCCGCATTATCGTATGCGACTTGCTACTGGCAGTCATGGGGCTTCAGTGTTAGGTATTAATTGGTGAAAATTTTCTTTTACTATAAAATAATCGTATGCGTGTAATTTGCCGATTAATTTCAAAGAAAATGTTAATCGGTTAATACCCAATCCTGTAGGCTGTATTCTGAATTGTTTTACCTAAATGAGCTTTTTTTCTGATTCTCAAAAACTGACACAAGATTATACATGACGATCGTGTAAGAAAAACAAAAGTTAGAATTAAAAAGAATTAAAAGGATTCACAGTTCGCTGTGCACTGAGAAAAACACTTGAAAATTTATTTGTGAGATATAAAGTTCATTTTTGTGAAATAGTTTGTTTCTGTGAGATAATTTTTGTCCCACAAGTACACTTTTAAGCTTTCTTTTTTATCAGTGCGTTTAGAGAATAAGACACTTTTCTTCGCTTCTCCCTTTTCGTCGCAAATGGTTTATAAGCACCCGTATTAGAGATCCGTCCACACACACGCGCGCGTCCCACGTGATTCGTGACCGAACCATTGTATTCTGTGGGTCAGGTGTACGTCGTCGTCGTCGTCATCAGGGCGGCCATTATACTTTATTAACGGACGCGTCTGGCATCCCGATAGACTCGCCTCTGTGAGTCGCGCGCGTTCCTCGAAAATACAGGACGGGTGCATCGACGTGGTGACGACCGGTCCCCGTTCGATCGCGGAGGCCTCGTTATGTTTATTTCCGTCAACTCGTCGCGACGATTCGCGACAGCTGTCACTGATCGCGCGTAACTTTTTTATCATTAGTGACTTCAACAAAAAGGAAGACGAACTTCGTATCCGTCTTGCGTCTTTCTCACTCACGGGTAATTCTCGAGAATCTCGTAACCACGGTCTACGAAGTCTTCCTAGATAAATCTGTCGCGTCGCTCGTCGAGTCGTGTTAGTCGCAACGTTGTTTCGCGGAGACATCTTTTGCATCACAATTTTCATCGTCGGATGCGAGAGGGATCGAGAGAGAGAGGAAGAGAGAAAGAGAGAAGAAGGTGACACACACACATACACATTCCTGCTTACTTGTTTACTCGCTCGCTTGCTCTGAGATTAAAACGTCGATTTGCAAAAGCCAATTACCGGTAAGTTCAGCGAGATTTTGAGATATTCCGGTTCGATCTCGGGCGATGGATATTTATAGGTGGCTGCGAATTATTAATAGAACGTCGTCAGCGGACGTCGGCCGTGGTAATTGAGTTCTGCGTCGCTCGCGATGCACGGCGATGTGCGGGGAATAAAAGCTGTTAGCGAGGATCGCCGGCAACATTATATGGCGTAGGCCGGTATTCGCGGGTTTCGCCTCCGTGTATTTATCTCGTGGTATCTGCCGGTTTAATAACGCCAGGCAATCAGGCGGTATACTCACTCTCCCTCCCTCCCACCCTCTCTGTCTCTGTCGCTCCTGCGATCCGTCGCCCCATCGTGCATTCGTACGGCTGCTCACCTCCTCGTCTGCTCGCCTCCATGCCGATAAATAATAACCATTTGTATCGGATTCTAATTACTCGCTCTAAGCAAACAAATAAACGGCAGGAGATGAGACGCGCCGTGAGAGAGGAGGTGGGCTTTAATGTTATGGTGGCTGCGGGCTGATTTAAGGAGTGTGGGACCGCCCACCTCGAAGATGTATCTTCAGGCTGAGTATCGGTCCACCTGTTATGAGTGTTTCAACGCCACTGTGCGTCCTTCATTCCTCTCTTTTCTTCCTTCCCCTCTTCGTTTTGTTCCGTTGCGCCACCGTTGTGTACCGGGGTGTCTCGGGGTGTCTTCTCGGCGGGGAGAGAGAGATTTCGTTAGCACGCGAGCTCAAGGAGAGAACGTCTTCGAGATGGTGACCTCACCGCTGATCATGACGGGCGGATATGGACGACTTGAAAATAATTCGCGCAAGCTCATACGCGCACGCTCATTGCCGCCGCGAGCGAATTACCGGTGGGAGTCCCTCCATTTGCGGTCGATAAATTACGAATATCGCCCTGAGGACTGCTCCTTAAGTGGCGTATATCCTTCGGTTGGGGCAGCGAAACGTGGGAAGGAATTCGCTTTCAGGGGCGACTCCACGGCGATCCTTTCTCGCGATGACGGCCATGATCGATAAGAGGCAGCGCGAGAGGAGAAACGCGTTTTCGCTTAAAAGGTCCTCAAAAAAGGCCGACGGTAGTTCGTTACCGGTGGGCTATTAGCGGGCGTAACGCACGTCGTAGGAGCGTCGAAGGACTAAGTAAACCCAGGCTAACAAGGAGGCGTATCCACCGGCCACGAATGATCTACCGATCCGAAGTTGGCATTATTTCGCTCTCTCCGCCGTCTCTCTCGCTGTCTCCTCCACCACGTCCCTCATTCTCTCTCTCTCTCTCTCTCTCGTTCGCTTCCTCTCCCCCTCTTTCTCTCTTTCCTCCCGTGTGCATCCACGGGGTCCTGCCTACCTATAGGCGAATATATCTACCTGCGCGCCTCCTACCTACGCCCCCGAATATTAACACTCTGATTTATGCGCGTAATTATCTCTAGTTATTTTCTTAGTATGGCTCC